TGGTCACTGGCCATAGCAAGACCTGCTTCCAGGTCCAGAGGAAGAAGCAAACCCAGCTAGCTTCCTCCTTCAGGTCTCAACTTGTGTCCCCTCATCTGAGGAGGCAACCCTATCTCACAATGAAGGAACCCCTCCACTATCTCCCTTTTGATAGCAAGTCATCTTATTTGTGTGGTTTCATGTTTATGGTTTGTGACCTGCACCTGGCTGGGGCCTAAGCACAGCACACACTCAAGAGCAGTTGCTGACTGACTAACTGAGCACCCAGAGAAGAGGGACCATATTTAGATAGCTTCTGTGGCATCAGGGCCTCGCAGGGTTTAAACCAAACAGCCAGCTGAGTGTGGGTGGGTACGAGGTGCAGGCACATACAAACTTTCGAAGGCAGAGGGGAAAGGGACACCTGGCTTGCTTTCCCTATGGCCTAGTGGTTGACCACCCCCTCCCCAGTGACCTGTCCATCTGGATTCCCAGTAGCAGCTCAAGCAGGACTCAAAACCCCTGCCAGAAACCAAAGGCCAGGTTTGGAACCCCCAGCTGCTCCCCTGCCATCATTGGGGTGGGGGAGGGGCTCCCAGAATCAGGTGAGACAGATCACCAACAGCTGGTAACCTTGAAGGAGCTTAACCAAGTCTTTTCTTATACTTTCTCTCACTTCTAACAAAGTCCTTTGTTAGGTCCAGGTAAGGGCCACACGCCCAGCGCCTCACTTTTTCAGGAGTATATATGGCTTTATGGTAACAGGATGATTTTTTTTTGTTACAAATCTTTCCTTATTTAATCTCTACATTCAGCCTAAAGTAGATTTTTATGGGCCCAGTGGAAAAGCCTCGCCCATAGTGGTTTCTAATGGAAGAGCTGGCAGCGCCATCACCCTATGAGGTGTCATGAGGCAGGGACACTTGAGGGGAACTTCACCACCCGCCCCCACTCGCTCGTACCAGGTCCAAATCTCCGCTGGCAACGTGGAGGCATCAGGAAACTACAGGAAAAATTATACTGATGTAAGAGAACAGGCTCTTGAAGTATCCAGGTATTTGAATCATACGCAAAATTGTCCTGTGTAGTCAGCGCACTCTTGCATGTGAGGCCAGAGCTCTTGGGAGACCCAGGCAGGGGAGTCTGAGGTTTGGGGGTCATTCCCAAAGGTGCAGATTTCCTCAGGTCACTCAGCCCAAGACCATGCGAGGAGCTGAGGCGGGGGCAGTGCTCACTGTCTGCAGGGAGCCAGGCAAGGGTGGCTTGGCCCGAGCCAGGGGATGGGCCCAAGACTAGGATAAAGGATGGTTACCAGGGCACATTTTCGGACGTCAGAATTCCTGGGTCCTTGTTAAATTCTTTCTTCATTCAAGCCTCTACAGCTCTTAAATTTTGAATCTTTCCATTTCTGGTTAAATAGAGTAAATGCCGCCGCCACCAGGAGAGCCGCTTGGGTTTTGGGGAGGAAGGGCCTACGTGAGAGCCAGTCATCCTGTACTGTGGTCACTGTGGTCATCCTTGGGAGTGGGTTAGGGTGGGCAGTGATTTCCTAGGGTTAAGAGAGATCTCCGTTCTCCTGGTGGAGTCTGGTGATAGGGGACTGCAGTCATATTTGGGGAATCGATATGTGTGGAAAGTAGCCATGTCCTTAAGGAGAGACAGGATAAACCCCTTATTCTAGAAGCCCAGGAGGAGAATTAAAGGTCATCTCTTTTTCAGTTGCAGTATAGAGTTTGCCGAGAAGGGTCTCCAAAGCCTTTCCTGGGGCCTTGGGTCTGGAGGTGCCCTGGGCCTGTGCACACCCCCACGCTGAGGGTGCGTTTTCTGCCTGCTGGAGTCAAGGGCTCCAGAAGCTTCGACACCCAAGGCTCCTTCAGGAACAGTGGGGAGACCCAGGGTGCCTGCCCGACACTCTTCCAGAACCCACTCACCGCCCACCTGGAGGGCTGCTGGGTCCTGGGAGTACTCCTCGGATTCGGCGTTGTTGGACGAGGTCCCCAGTCCAGCGTGTTCTGCTCTGGTCTCTGGTCCCGCATGCCCGGGGGGCAGCGGGCAGGGGACTGTTATGACCTGCACTTCTGGTGGGAGGGGAGGCGAACAAGCCAGCTGGACCCCTAACTCACCTCGCAGGGTCAAAACCTGGGATGGGAAGCACAGAGCGGGCCTAGACCCCGGGGGCGGGGCGTTCTCCGCGGGAGTAGGGGATGGATGCTGACACCGCGGCCACCAGCCTTTGCCACCTCGCGCCGGAGCCTCGGGCTCACTGGAGAGTTTCGGGCCAGGCCCCCAGCAGAAGGACTGATTCCAGGGAGCGGCTGGGGGTTCTCCCGACTGGGGCTTAGCGCTACAATCTCACTCGGCTTTCCTACTTCCTCCTGAACGTGCAGAGAAAAGCCTGGGATCTCCGGGGTCACAACAGCTGAGTCGAGGGCGCAAGGGAGGAATGTTCCGCTGAGCAGGACCGTCTTTCCCTTGGTGCACTTTCTGCAACACTGGCGGCCCTCAGGGAGGTGGTAGGGAGCAACAGGAGGCCTTGGGGGGACAGTTAAGAAGCGCAGAGGCTGTGAGACCCCCAACTATGTGACAACAAATACCTCCCAGTTTCCTTCACGTACATATGCGGCTCTCCCCGCCTACGGCCCATCCCCCGTCCCGCCGCTGGCGCGTTAGGAGTTTGCCTACGAGAAAGCCCCCAGGCAAACCCTTCCCAGACTGTAGCTCCTGGGGCGCCAGTGAAGGCTGGCGAGTTTGAGGGGGCTACCGAAGGTTGAAGAAAGTTTTTTTTTTTTTTAATGAGGGAAAAGCTGCCTCTAGGATGGCGAGGGCTTTAAGTCTGGGCCTCCCTATCTTTGGGAAAATGCACAACTGCTGGCGACTCAAAGAAGAGAGGGAGGCAGGACCCTTGGGGAAATATTTACTGGTCAAATCGATATCCCCGTTTGGCTGTGAGGATGGCCGATTTCAAAGCAGATTAGGTTACTTTGTGGCATTTCAAATAAAACGGCAATTTCAGAGCCGTGAGCACGTGGGCGACCCACGGGAGCTAGGGGCCTGGTGGGCTAAGTGCGCGGCCAGGGCGCTTGGACCCAAGGCCCGGGCGAGAATTTCTCATCTGGTCTTTTTCTTCTTAATCGAAGTCAAAGGGACAATGGCCGGCGGCGGGGGTGCGAGGAGCTGAGGTTGCGCGCGCCCTCCCGGGCGCCCCGGCTCCCGGCTGGGCGCTGTTTACTGGTTTACTTTATTCCCCGTCCAGGTTTAGGAGACGCGTGGGGACAGCCGAGCCGCGCCGGGCCCCTGGACAGCGTCGCCAAGGAGCTGGGATCACACTTGCTGCAGGTAGTAGAGCCGCCGCTCCGGGGAGGGAGGGGGCGGGAGCGCTG